TGTATTATATTTTTTCTGAATTTTATTCTCATTGATGATCTCACTACTTTGTTGATAAATCCCAATGTCTTTTGGATAGAATAGTTGTTGTCATTGATGTTGTCAAAATGGAAGGCGGAAAGAGTGATTGTGGAGGAGGAAGGGTATAATCTGAAGGGGAAAGAATTTGATAGTTTCTGTCTGTAAATTTCTTGGTAAGATTACTTTTATGTTGGAAGTAATTGTCTTCAGGGGAAAGACAGTAATGGAGGAGGCAGTCACCTCTACTGATCTATCTTTTTGGATGTCCAATATTTTTTCAGTCTCATAAGCTTTCCCCTTTTCGATATCTCGGACTCCCACAGCTTTACACTCAGTAGACATCCTGTCAAGGATTTTGTGTGCCATCAAAATATGTCTCTAAGACTTACTGTCTGGACATTGCTATTTTCTCATTATCTGCCATGCCCCCTTGAATGATTAAACTACAGTCATTTTTTGTTGGCTCTGAAGAAATTTCAGGAATGGGAGACATGGAGGTATAGTTCAATATCCAGACAAATTTTCCAGCCAGTGTTAGTGGGTGAGACTACTATGGCCTCCTTTTTTATGGTCAAGGTGGGTGGCAAGGCATTGCAATGCTTAATGGTCTGCCTTTCTGTGGGAATCATTTTCTCCAAGCAAGAAGCAAAGAAATGACCAATCTCTCTGAAAAACCAAAATGTTTGGCATCAAAGGCCAGAGACAATAACTAGCAACTTCTGGCCTTTGATGTTCGGGTAAGTGGGACAATATTGGAGACTTTCTTTTTTATTGTTAGGTCAAAATACCTTTCTTCTCACATCCGGCTGCAACTCTCAACCACAATTTCCCCAAATTATAAAAGGAACACAGCCAAAGTTAGAAACATTAAAGATTACTACTGTAGTCCACAGTTGATATTATAATCAAATATGTCAGAGGCTAAACTTTCTGATGGTAGCAGCAGAATATCCCTCACTGTTGAAAAACGGCATCTTTTGTGTGTTTTGGAAGACTATAAATCTGAAAAATCTGATGTTTTCATGAAAAAAATGAAGTATTTTAAAATCTTTAAAAAAAATTAAGTAAAATACTGTAAACCTAAAATAAAAGTTGTTTATTTTGCATTTTAAATTTTTTTTCAGTTCATGGCATTAATTCACTCTGAGTGGATGGATTTCAGAAAAAAAATTGAATTGATTTATATTTTTTAGAGATTTTACAATAAAAATGATATTCATTGAGATATAAAATTTTTAAAAAATGGGTGTGTTTATTTTATAAAATAAGTTTTTTTTCCACTAACTCTTTTGTGAAATTGTATACAATAATGATTATTGGTGTATAAAGTAAAATGGAGATGCCAAGTTCAAATACTGAATGTGTTTGTTAGATTTGCTTTACATTACTGCCCTTTGTTACCAGCCAATGTGAAGGAAGAATACCTGAAAATTTAAAACTGTGAAGAAGGCAACAGGAAACAGTTACCCTACATTTTCTAAGAACTTATAAACAGAAGGAAAGTATATAATACCATAACAGCCTACATCCCGAAAGAATCATCAAATCCATTGTTTGGTATTTGGTAAATATTTCAAATATGAGTCCCTATTTGGCAATGCATTTGCAATTATCACTGAAATTTGCTTTTATGTGTAATTTCTGAAAAAATAAGGCAACGACCTTTCGAAAAAAATTAAATATAAAACATAAAATAAAAAAACAACATAAAAACACATTTTAAATAAAAAGTTAAATTTTAGTTTTATTTATAAGACAGTAAGATAATAGCCTCAGGTTAATCCATATTAAAGAAAAATAAATACCTGTATGTAAATAAGTTTTAAAGTCTTTAGATATTTTGAAAAAATTGACACGTTCACTTATCAAACAGCCATAGATGAAAAATGTAAACATATTTAACAATATCTTAAAAATTCAGTATTTGTTATAGAGGTGTGTTTCATTGTCAATTAATTAATGACTAATTTGTACTGAGTGCGAGATAACAACTCCCTTCATCTACTCATGACTCTGAGGAAGAAGGAGGGAAATTTGTGTGATATTTACCTTTCACAGAAATTAACCATTGAGCCAAGAATAAGAAAAGAAATTTGTGAGATTTTTGTCTTTCACAGAAATTAGTGAACCGAGAAGAAGGAAAAATTTTTGAGATATTTGCCTTAAAAGAAATTAATCAGTGAGCAGAGACTGAAAGAAATTTGTGAGATTTTTGCCTTTAACAGAAATTAATCAGTGAGCTAAGAAGGAAAGAAATTCTTGAGATTTTTGCCTTTCACTGGAATTAATCAGTGAGCCAAAAAGACAGAAAGAAATTCTTGAGATTTTTGCCTTTCACAGAAATTAATCAGTGAGCCTAGATGAAGGAAAGTAATTTTTGAGATTTGTTCCTTTCACACAAATTAATCAGTGAGCCAAGAATAAGGAAGGGAATTTTTGAGATTTTTGCCCTTCACAGAAATTAATCAATGAGCCGAAAAAAAAATGAAAGAATTTTGTAAGCTGATATTGAAATTGTTTTTGGACTGCTGCTGAAAATCTTGTCTTCACTGAAATTAGCTGGTGAGCCAAGAAGAAGAAAGAAAGAAAGGAGCAATGCTATGCAAAATTCTTTTTAATATAAAATGAGCAGAAAACTTAAATGAAGCAGAAGAGTGTCTGAAGTCATGTGAAGTGTTTAATTTTTGTTCCTCATGGCTAGTTTTGAATGTTGAAGTACTCAACTGTGTAAATTTACTTGCTAATTATGTTATCAGCCTTTAACCAAGCATGTGGTACTTGAAAGAATTTTCTCTCAACAATCCAAGGAAACTATCTCTCTTCGTATACTTTTGAACGTATGCAAACCATATACCCATTTGGTGGACAACGATCTCCTATTACCTTTGTTTTAAACATTTTTTAATATTATTTTGTGTCTGATCATTTAATCTGTTGTATGAACATTTCTTCTTCATGATAATGCATTAAAACTATGTGCTTTAAGAATTCTAATTTATTTTCCTGAAACGAGCTACTGACACTAAGCATGTAAATTTGTGAATAAATTCCTTGTCCGATTTTGTTTTCTTAGCATTATCATCCTTCATTAATCTTGGCATGGGTAAATCAACTGTGTGGGGTATTCACTAACACCATAGGAGTGCTGGTAGTAGAATTTTAAGTTTGTTTTTACTAGATAAAAACAGGAAAAGTAAATGTACACAATACAGAGAGTGCTTGGATGAATGAATGTTGTATATTATTAAAGTCCCGCATTGATTTCATTCAGTTAACTGATGTTTCTGCCACAGTTATGGATGGGGTGTATTACTAATGCTATTTTATTTAGTTTCTTGTAAATAGTTTTTGTTCATATTTGTAAATACACATTGGGGTTTAGATTTTAAATTGCTGTTATATCCCCACCTCTGACAAGAATTGTATATATGGGGACTAGTTGGGACTTCATAGAGATATTGAGGTATTCTGGTGGATGTAGTAAGAATGCCTTGTTTTGGTGTAAGTAATATTGTAGTATGTTTGGGTCAGTGATTATGGCTAGCTAAGTTTAATGTTAAGACAGAAGACCAAGCTTTTTCCTCATTTCTGGGACACGTAATGAGAAAGGACGGTTTGGAGAATCTGATACTTACAGGACAGATGGAGAGAAAGAGAGACAAGGGAATGCAACGCATAACATACCTAGCGAGCTTAAGCAGGACAGGGCTTAGGGGAAGTAGCAAAAGGACAAAACATTGAGAACTAAAAGAAATAGGGGGAAGTGGAGAGCCATGATCACCTACGTCCTGAAGGGACACGACACATAAAAGAAAGAAGCCACGTTTTATATTTTTATACAATTAAATATCAATCCCAGCCCCGGGAGGTGGCCCGGCACTGAACAGATACTATGGGGCGGAGGAGATGGCCAAATAACTTCGACTTCTTCGTTAAACCAAAATCTCTGCCTTTGTTCTACTTGTTTGTTTCAGCCCTCATCACTTATTTTTTCCTTTTGGTTTGTGAGTTCGACATAAATTATCGACCCGCAACAATATGTTAGCCTACTCATTTAATTTTTATGAAATTTTGAGAAATTCATTTTTTTGTATTGCTTATTGTTAGGACAAGAATAAATCATCAAAATCCTTTGTTCAAACGAGACCCGCCAGTTATGGAAACCAGGAAAATGTGCCCAGAATCGTAAAATTTCAAATGAGCATACAGATCTGATGAAACTATTTGTCGTCAAAGTCTTTGTTATTATTAAGAGGAAAGAACAAAGAATTTTTCAATTTTTTAGTCCCTTTTTTAGAAAGTTCGAAATTTTGCTTAGAGATTTTGTTTTTCTAGTCAACAATTAACCATATAGAAAATTTGAGCGTCTTTTTGTGGTGAAAAACACATTGATTTGGAAATTCTTGCAAAAATCAGAACTGTTAGATTTTAATTAAATTTTCAGTACTTATTCACAAATGAAGTAAATTATTTTTGAAACTTTGTATTTTTAAACCTTTTTTCAGCGGTGCCTAGGCAATAAAATAAAAACTAAGACCGTTTTTAATTAGAAAAGTTTTTAATTTAAAGCTTCTATATAAAAATATTTATTATGTATAAAAGTTTCCAGAAAATAACCTGTAGTTTTCAGTATTGTTTTTCATAACTGCACGTAACAGGAATATTGGATATTTTCCTGTGCGTATCGGGCATCCGTAAATTGCTTATTTCTTGTCTTTTAGTTGTCAAGTGTCAAACGAACAGATAAAAAAAAACATATTTCAGAACAATCTCTAAAAATGTGCGATTGCAATTAAATAGTGCCACTACTGTTGTGCAGATTAAATTAAATTGAAATTTAATGACATAAAAAAATAAAAGCAGTAACTAACTTACTTGCACGTCAATAAAAAAAGTAGTTACATATTTACAAGAGACTTAATTAATAAAACAAAAACAAGGTATATTTATAAAAATCAGTCTTCTTTTTCTTTACTTACCTGTAATGATTGGTACCCAGCATTTTCTAATTTTTTGATCAAGTGTTTACTTTGAGATTGGGACAGAAGTACAGGAGCCATATTTGATGAAACGTTCGATTTTTTTTTTCAAAAACCAGTTCAACTCAAAAGAGACAAACAAATTATTTGTGTTAATCAGAGCAGAACGTTATATTCGGTTTAATAATCAGTATATATAATTTAAATTATCTCATGTAAAAAAAATGTATTCATATTCTAATTTATGAAGGAAAATAAAGTAAACTAAACTTTAAAAAAATCGCAGTCGTTTTCTTTAAATACTGATACTGCTATGTTCTTATCTATTTCCTATCTGAAAAGGATAAAAAAGTCTCCTCTCTTTGTATCATGTTCTCAGATATGTAGTATAGTTTATTTAACTTATTTTTCTAGTCGTGTAGTAGTATTCAGTTCCCAGTGCTTCATTGAGTACTACTCCATTTCAATTTACTGCTCATTTGTGAATTACAAGCCAAAATATTAGGTTGAGTTATAAATGATTTTTGTTAATTTTATTCTTAAAAAATAAAATACAATTTTATTCAGTTAATTAACTATCATCATTTGTGATGACTTGTTGCACTTACTTATCAGGTTTGGACGTGAAAAAGTTTTTGATGTGTCGCGGTCGCCGATTATCCGCTCCTTAGAAAGCCGACCTTGACCTTTACAACTCCCGATCTCGCAGATCTAGGTCAAGCAACATACGAGAAACCGGACCGCTTGTCCAATATCGTTGATGCCAAACCATACCTAGTGTGCATCTGACTATGCAGAGCCATTCCAAACATCAGCAACCATAGACAGTAATTAATTATCTACGGTCTTTGGGTTCACATCCCACCCCCATCTCATTTTTTCATCTTAGAATTTTTGTACATATGTGTTAGGATCATTATGACATGGGGCGCGTTTTGTAGGTCTCCCTAGAGTGGATGTGGTATTATGGTGCAAGGAGGATTGATTGATGACGGACGAGTTCTTATGGTGAATGAGTAAATTGTAATGTCTGAATGGGTCGTGAATCAAATTAGCTAGGTATAAGATAGTTAGTGAAGACCAGCCTTACTCCCTCCCCCTTTTCGGCCTTGTGCCACAATTTTGTATTTTTTACAAAATAAATCTCGCTACCTTTGTGAACTTCCGGTGCTTTTGTCGAGAGTGTTACTCTTCGGCGCGATCCCGTCTCCACGGTCGATCCGCCCTGGAAGGTGTAACACCTCTCTGACCTGCTTCGCCTGGTGATACACTCTGGCGCGATCTCGTTTCCGCGGTTGATCCGCCCTGTGGAGTTGTATTACTGTGCTGCCTTGGCCCTGTTTAGGGACTCCGTCTTCGCCTGGTGATACACTTTGGCGCGATCCCGTTCCCGCGGTCGATCCGCCCTGTGAAGTCGCATCACTGGTCTGCCTTGGCCCTGTTTAGGGACACCGTCTTCGCCTGGTGATACACTTTGGCGCGATCCCGTTTCCGCGGTCGATCCGCCCTGTGAAGTAGCATCACTGTTCTGCCTTGGCCCTGTTTAGGGACTCCGTCTTCGCTATTCGGCCGAACCAACTACGTTCGCCGCCCAATCCTAAACTACCGGGCCAGACCAGCTACATTCGACCAGACCAGCTACGTTCGCCTACCAATCCTAAACTACCGGGCCAGACCAACTATATTCGACCGAACCATCTACGTTCGCCTACCAATCCTAAACTACCGGACCAGACCAGCTACATTCGACCGAACCAGCTACGTTCGCCTACCAATCCTAAACTACCAGGCCAGACCAGCTACATTCGACCAGACCAGCTACGTTCGCCTACCAATCCTAAACTACCGGACCGGATCATCTACATTCGACCGAACCAGCTACGTTCGTCGATCAACCAGTCATATCGGACCACACCGATGTAAACGTGTTAATAAATTCGACACTTTTGTTCATAACAAAAACCTTTGCCTTTGTCCCGTCATTGTCTTTGCTGTTCACATTTATCTACATAAAAACCTTGCGGGGGCGACATCCTACTCGGCCCCGCATCAGATGCTTGTATGTGGTGTGGGAAATTTGTCCCGGCTTTCTCACATGAAAGGCGTTAAAGGTTAAAAAAAAAGTGACAGAATTAATTATTATTAATTTTGTCACTTTTTTTAATTATTAATATAAGTAACAACGGCTTGAAAGATTAGATCGGACAATTCTGTGTTAAATTAAAGACATATCCAAATATACGGCGGTCTAAGTGAAATAAGGAAGGTCCACAATTTATGGGAGGAAAATTACGTTTATTTCTGGAAGATAAAGATTAACATAAGAAGAGAGTGAGGGGAAAAAGGAGAAAATATTTTCAAAAGGGAAAAGTTTCAAATGAAGGGGGCGCAAATCAGGATGTCAAATTTTGTCTTTAAACCCCACCCCACGTCCTCTTAAAATTTGCATCCTGATAATTTAGGTCTTACTGAGTCTAGGCGGGTTTTTACCAGTGGCTTGGTGAAGCAGTCTGCTGTATTTTTGTCGGTTGGCACATAGTTGTACTTGTAATAGGATTTACTTTTTTTTGCTATGCAAATTTCGCTCTGATTATCCGAATGCAATGTTGCCTGTTTCAGTTCCTTTGTGCACTTCATCTCGTTCACCAATTGCAGGGGGTATTTTGCCTCTTGTATGACTGGCGTCGGTGGAGTAATAGATAGCGGCTCGGTTTGAGGAGTCGGAGCCGAGTTCGAATTCAAGCCGAATCCATTACATTCACTTACGTGCTAATACCCTTGGGAAAAGTATACATCCACTTCTTCTCCCCCAGCTATGGGTAAATAGCAGGACAGATCGGGTTCTATAGCCTTGGATGGCAACTGGTCTACCAGTGTAACATACACGCAAATCAATTATACCGCCTTGTTTAAAGATTAAAAGATAATGCACAAAGTTTTGAGAAATGAATAATAAATCCTTATATATCCCAATAATACAGAAGGATAAAGGGAAAGATGAAGTTTCAAGAGTAAAAGAACTGGCACATAAGAGAGATAGAAAGAAAGAGAAAGATTCTTGTTGGAAGTAAATATATGTGTATACGCATGTATGCATGTATCCAAATGTGTTAGCTACCACTTAATATATAATAATTCTAAAGCAATAATTAGCACTTCTAGAGAATGCAAAAATTTCTTAGTTACTAAACAGCCAGCCAGTGTAATACTACTTCTTTTGAAGAAATAGCTTGACGGACTTAGCTCCTCCTTAATTCCCTAATTTTTCACTAGGGGTCCGTCTCCCTACACTACAAATACTGGGCGACTTCTCGCCTCGTTCTCTTTCTATTTTGTATTTCAGCGGACACATTTAAAAATGTGATCTCTCATGGAGATCAGCGTTTTCTCCCACGTTGGAAAACGCCATGAAACACGCACTCACATACACGTACGTACGAACATTCACCAAAATACAAACACAAATATATCGGTCTTGTTTGTTTTTTTTTCATCGTCGTTTGGACTCAACTTGAGTCCGCATTGGTCTTGTAGTGAGACCTTCTAGCAGGAATAAACAACACGTGTTCCTAATTCAACAGCAGTCAAACATCTGGTCCTCTACAAGCTAATCAAACAGATGTTGCTTCTGGCATGTCACCACACTCTAATTTACAACCTAATCCTGTTTGTCCTGAAAAAATAGTTTATTAAACTTTTCTATTTTGGTGCCTATCAAATTATTATCTTCTTTATCTTTAGATGTTTCAAACCATAAAACTTATCCACAAGGGATATACAGATGAAAAACAGTGTTATACTCCTGTGCAATTAGATCTCTTTCTAATTCATTCTGCATGTTGTCCAGATGTGAAAGCCATGAAGGCAGAGAACGAAATAACAAAAATCATTTTCTGCAGATTATGCTCAATGCATCACATCCAGTCATGAAGCAAGCTCCAGTGGTGGCCAATTGTAAATGTTCCCACTGGAGAGAGAGAGAGAGATGACTTTAGGGACTACCAGACCCACTTAAAAGCAGAACAACAACAGCAGCTGGCTGCCACACAGGTTGCTACTGCTGTTGCCACCACTGCTGTCACCACCACTGCTTCCTCTCAACAATGACTGCACTTCTCAATAACAGTCACCATTCACAGGCTTGACTATCCAACTTTGCGTTGATAACATCTCGACTTCATCACTTCGGCAAACACCAGCCACAAGCGACTCATTACCCAGCTTCGACTCCACCTAGCTACAAGTCTTCACCGTCAACGACGCTGTCACCTCGGCAAATACCGACATGATAATATCTCAACTTCGACTCCATGTCACCTCGGCAATACCAACTTGATAACATCTCCACATGGGCAACACCAAGCTTCAAGCCTTCCTCGTCGCCAACGGTGTCACCTCGGCAAATCCAACTCCACGAGCAAGGAACTTTGACTCTGCAAGCAGCGACTCCGCAACTGACCAACTTCAACTCAGCAAAACAAGTGACTCCGCGGGGAAGTGACCCCGACTCCGCAAGCAGCGACTCCAACTCCGCAAACAGCAATTCCAACTCCGCAACCAAGTGAATTCGACTTCACAAGGAAGCGACTCTGACTCTGCAAGCATGCAACCCACTTGACCAACCAACGTGACTCCAATCAACCAACACGCACCGACCATACCCTGTGACCTCCCACCAAACCCACACAAGTATTATGTCAATATAGCGAAGAAAATGGCGACTTACCTCGTCAAACCAAGAGACAGCGCGTCGCGTGTATCCTACGACGGAAAAGAAAATTACTTACCAAAAAAAAAAACGGGCACGTATTCCGCATGACATACTGAAGACGGAATATTTAGATTAAAAAACAAGTCCGTCGCAGGAGTCGCTATAAAAGTATTTTGACATGGAAAAATTTGGCGTCCTCTCCCAGTTGTCGACGATTGAAAAAAATGCTCGGCCGATAAAAGCAGTTGATGTTCTCGAATCGGGAGGGAAAATTTATGTATTTTGGCTACCGCATTCGTCGGAGAGTGAGTTATTTTTCTGAGTAGTTACGTGCATTTGGAATCGTGAGATAGTACCTGCGAATCGAGTT